CCCTTTCAAATCTTAACTGAACAAACTGAAGAGAGAAGCTGATTGGTTGTAATGCACAGCTGCTCCAGATTTTTCTCTGCTCCAGTTTTGATAAATTCCCCTCACAGAGTTGTATTGCTTGGCAATGCCTAATTTTTTAAAAAGAAAAAAGTAAACAGAAATGTAAACATTGCTTAGTCTTAATAGCTAGTCTTTTCAACTGAACTGAACCGCAGTGTTAAGCTTATTCTGGTAAATGGAAAGTATTTAATAAGGATGACCGATGAAGCTAGTGCCTTCTCAATTTGGTCCAACCTTTCTTGTTTATTTGATTGCTTTAGATCCAAGCCTAAGCGTTTGCTGCCATCGTGTGGCTAATTATGGAACTTCATTATAGGGTAAAAATGAATGCACTTGCACTACAAAGAATGTATTCTTTGCTTTTAACAATTATATGCATTTGTGACATCTGAGTAAAAATAAACATTCACACCTGAGATCCTCCTTAACCTGTCTATGTCCAGACAGAACAGCAAAAACAACCTGATGCAGCTGAGATCTGATCCGGATCAGGCCAATGTTCCTCTTACATCTATGGTAAAACCAGTTGACCAGATGTATTTTTTTTTACAATTTCAGTTAACTTTTTTTGTAGTAAAGATGCACCCCTTCTTCTTCAATTCACTCCTTTTTGTATCTGTTACTACTGGAGCACTACTCTTTATAGCTACTAGGGCTGTGGCAGGTAGGTACCTTGCTATACAAACTGAAGTCCTTATGTTAATCCAATGTCCTTTTTAAGGAAACCTGTAGTAGGAGAAACATGTAAGCTGAAATTGCTACCTTAATTCTGAAAATTCTAGCTGCCTGGCTGTCTCTAGCCTTAATAATTTCTGAATTACTGCCCTGACCAAGCATGTATTTAATGAAATAATTGAATAATAACCAGGCAACTAGCATCTTCAAGGTAATGTTTAGTATCAGAAGCCATTGTATTTTCTCAGTACTGGGTTTTCTTTTAAAGTGACACTAAACTCAGGAGTTAAAGTAGTATTAAGGTCTGGGTGTTTTTTACCTTAATGCATTCTCTGCATTAGGAAGAAAAAAAAAAAAGTAGAGAAAGATTTGCAAACCTTTCCGGGAGAAAGTTTTTTTTTTTTCTCTGATTTACGACCGCATGCGCCTCCGATGTCAGAAAAAAAGAAAAAAACAGCGGAGCAGACCTGTCCTGGGGCCGCGAGGCGACCCCCGGCAAATAGTCATTCGACCCCCAACGGGGTTGCGACCCCCACGTTGAGAACCGCTGCTTTAAGTGAAAGATGGACGCAATAAACATATACAGTGCATCTCCCTCCAAAAGATATCACCTGGGCGCTTTGGAGGAGGTGATAAGAGCTTCGGATTTTCTGTAATTGTAACCCAAAGCAAATAAAACAGGATATTCACAGAAAAGCTCCAAAAATGCATTTAATGTATTCAGTAATAACAATGAATTTGATATCTGGAGAATTAAATACATAAAATAATTATATTCTTCAAACTTAAAGTCATATTCCAGTTTTTTGGCAAACAATTATAAAGGCACCCATTAACAAAATAAATAAATAAAAATGCATTTATAAAACTTTTTTTTTTGGCATTGGAGCATGCAAGCATCGCAACTGTGACTAGAGGATTGCCGGTGCAATGCACAGGCTCATACCGACCATTTCCGCAGCCCTAGACCTTCCGTTATAAAGCTGGAGGAAGATATCATTGCAAGTGCAGTGGTATCACAGCACTTGAGACTCCATTAATAACTGTGGATGAAAAAACTACAAGTCCTGTCTGCCACTGCCACAGAGTGACTTGTAGTTTATTCATCCACAGATACTCTGAATAGATCTGTAAATGAATGACACGGCTATCCAGGCTGTCAGCAGCCACGCAAAGCTGCACCAAATGTAAAATTACACAGGAGCCTGTGGGTAGAATCACCCGGCAATTCAGTTAAGTTGGGGTGTTGAGAACTAAATGGTGGGCTGCTGCAGAATGGCATCATGTTCCGTGTTACATCATAAATATGGATGGAACATGGTGTTAAAGGTGGAATTAGCTTTCATTAAACACAAAACATGTAACAGGGTCATCTATTAAGCACTTACATAAATATTGCAGATGTGTTAATGTATTAGATATTTACTGCAATGCAGATTTTTACAGTTCCCAGTATACATTGCATCAGCCATTTAGATTATACTTCATTATAAATCTTCAACCTTCACCTAGTGAAAACATTTGATGAAGGGCAACTTGTAGTATGTAGATAGCCACATGTTTGCCTTAGTAAATTATGAGCATATCTCCGCCAGTGTACCATTCCTGGGCAATGAATGACCTTTTACTAGACCTATTATTCTTACTCACTGTGGACTAACAGAGGGATATTAGGGCATAGGTTTAATTTGAAGGTCAGTTTAAGTGACTTATCTGACACATACTTGGTGCTACCTAGCATCAGAAGCATGGTGGAATTGTTTTCAAGTTGGGGCATTCTGCTAAAAATACATTTTAAAAATGGGTACAGTCACGCCACTAAAACCTATACCTAACCCTTCATCATGGCCCTAACAATTAAACCTACATTGACCTACATTTGGAAAACACTAGGGATATCCCAATACCATTTTTTCAAGATCAAGTACAAGTATTTTCCCTCAGGTACTTGCCAAAACCAATTACCGATACTTTTTCTTTTCCCTTCCATAAACTTTATTATTGTCCAAATTATATAAACATACAACATTTATACAAAAATAAGTTAATCAATAAATAACAACCCCACACATAATTATACCATTAATATGACCGATACTTTTTCTTAAAGGGATATGTGACATTTTTTCTAAAACAATACAGACTAATGATTTTAGGCCATTCTCTTTAGAATTATGAAGAACTGTAACTCAGCCCATGATTATTCAGCAATGCAGAATGGCAATAGAGGACTACAGATCGCATTGATCCATGATTGTACAGCAATTATACACGGCTGTGTGCGGTCTCACCAGGGCTGCATGCCCTGGTGAGATCTGCACCAGGTCTGTGTGTGGGTGTCTGGCTCTCCAGGGCTGAACGTGTGGGTGCCAGGCTGGTGCTGGGCTTCAGGGCTGTACGAGTAGGTGTGGAACTATTCAGTGCTGTGCTGATCTCTGCGGGTGCCGTGATTTAAGAATAGATGTGGGGCCGGACAGGGGCTGTCAAAGACAGCTGCCACGAGGTCCCCTGCATGCTGCCTCAAGTCCCCAGCAAGCAGGGGACCTCAGGCAGCCTCTCGTTTTAAAATTTACAAATACAATACTATACAATACTACAATACCGATCTCCACTCCAGTAATGGTATGTCCCTCAGTGTCCTCCTTCCTATACACTGTGTATAAAACTCACAGAACCTTAGACGGCTGCAGCGGAGGGGGAGAGAGGCTCCGGGGACCGGTTTTCCAGTCAGCTAACTCCGAGGATCAGGCGAGTATAACTTTTTTATTTTTAACCTAGACACATTTTACCCGGAGTTCTGCTTTAACCTAACCATAACTGAAAATTAAGTTAATCAGTAACACTGGATAATTTACTTTTGTCACCCAAAGTGTCAAAACGTTAGGGCTTGTATAGATGGGCAAATGCAGCATGTTTCAAGTGCATTCCATTTGCATTTAGGTTCAGTTGGAGATCCTTCTGAACTTCTTCTGACCTCCTTATAATCCATATCAAGCTGCTTTCGCATTCCCGCAGAATAAAAGCCATTGTAACTTGAGTAAATGCCCATATACACAGGCCCTTACAGTCCATATTATTGTACATTTTCCAAATAGAATATTTATTTATGTACAGTATGTTAAAGGGGGTGTCAGAGATCTAGCTGTTGATATTATGGGTGTTGACAGGATCAACTATTTCTGGATGCTATGTAGCTGTGCCATGGAGCAGACATTAAGGTAGTTATTACTGAAAACGCACCTACCATATTTGCTAGGTTGGTCCCCACAACAGAGGTTGACAGGGGTCATCCTCGTCTATTAACAAATGTGAAAACCGTGTATAGTTTTAAACAATTGTAGAAATAAAACCCTCTACACTTTCCTTCCTTTACCAATGCATTACTATAGAAAGCCATCACTAGGTAGGTCTGGATGTTTTGTACTAGCAAACAATAATGGTTTTACCCAAGAACAAACAGTTCAGCCACTTCACTGCTTCCCCCACCCATCCAGACTGAGATAGTTCCTCCGAGAACCACTCAACTGATCACAGCTTTTAAAGTAACCTCTGCCTTCCTACTGGTTAAAGTTGTAAATGTGCCACAATTATCGAAGCTACAAAAGTAGCCAGTAGGGATGCACCGATATATCGGCCGCCGAAACATATCGGCCGAAAATGGCACTTTTGGCTAAATGCCGAAAATGCCATTTTCCTGCCGATACATTGGCGCATCCCAGGTTCTTTCCTCCCCGCTGGGCACTGCTCTGTGTCCCAGCAGGGAGGAGAGAAAGTGACAGCCGAGCGCTGCGGGACAAGAGCGCTGTGAGCGGCAGGTATCTCTCCTCCCACACCGCTCAGCCACCTATCACAGGAGGTTGGGCTCTCCTCAGACCCCTGATATTTCACAAAGGCTGTAAAAGTAAGAAATAAAAATATTTAATAAAAATTTTTTTATTTCGGTTTCTTTTTGGGTTTTTACATTTCTATTTTGGTGCACCTCTGGTAACCAGGGCTTGCTTATATCACTAAATAAAAACTCAAATCCACAATTTCACTGAATAAACATTTAATAGAAAGTGTTATCAAAATATAAGACACATCGAAGGGGAATTTCTGAAAACTGGAGCAGACAAATTCTGGAGCAGTGGCCCAGGATAACCAATCAGCCTCTCTTTCATTTTCAAATCTTAACTGAACAAACTGAAAAAAGAAGCTGATTGATTATCCTGAGGCATTGCTCCAGAATTTGTCTGCTACAGTTTTCATAAATTCCCCTCCTTGTTTTATACAAAGGAATGTGTGCAGCCTTTAGGGCAAATCCCATCTGAATACCAGATAAAGTAACCGTTGGCGAACTTGTTATTCACATAACAGGTTGGAGTCCAATAACTTAAAACAATATTTAAATTGAGGCTGTTGGTCAGAGATCCTCATGTACAGCTATTGATTCTTGTTTTGCTTCAGATGTCACATTCTGCTGAGTAACAGTTTCTTCATCTATGGAGTAAAACAATCAAAAGCATGATGTTTAAAACAATAATCTACATGTGTTTGGACATTCTGACTTTTGAACATACTGTATCTCACACAAATATTTATATAGGATATTCTCACTATTGTGCAAAGAGAACATCGGTGCTATGTGGTACATGGAAAACCAAATATTAATTTACTAAATAATATATTGAAAAAGTATAACTAGACAGGTTATAGATAGTTGGGTGAAAGAAAGCAAATTTCCCACCACTAATCCTCTGTGATGCATTGAAAAACCTTCTTAAAGCAGAAGGTATTGAACTGTCATCACTTCTATTACAAAGATAAAATAGGCTGGGCCCATTCTCCATTAATAATTGGGAGGGGCCATGTAAAACATTCCTTTATGCCCCTTGTCCAACTGTACATCCAGAACCACTGGTTTACAGTACAGATACAGCCCAATATTATAGAGCCATTTATTCCAGACTGCATAAAGCTGGTCCAGGCTTGTTGGTCATCATCAATGAAAATATAAGAAAGATGGCTTCTATGAAGAAGGAATTATGGGAGCTATGAAAAAGTATAACCACAAGGTTATGCTGTGGTGCTCCAAAGGAACAAAAAAACAAAAAAAAGCCCTCCAGTCTGGTTATACTTTTTCCTGAAATGGAAATGTTTGGTATGGGAGAATGTCTTGAAGTAGCTATAGCATGGTTATTATATCATTAACTGCAAAAATCAATCAAAACCAGATCTTTGTAAAGCTGGCCATACACCTATATATTTTCTGCAGATTTTCTATGGTCAGATGGAAAAAGTGCAACAGATTCCTCCATCTACGCTAAACTGTGGATGGTGGAATCTCCCACTGTGCCAAGCTTCAGTATCTTGTTAGCCAGCCCTGCTGGTTGTCAAAATACTTGAACAATCTGATTGGACGCAGGCATTGTTCAGGTGTTTTGAGAGCTAGCGGGGCCGCCTAGCAAGATACTGAAGCTTGGCACAGTGGGAGATTCCACCATCCACAGTTTAGCGTAGATGGAGGAATCTGTTGCACTTTTTCCATCTGACCAGAGAAAATCTGCAGATAATCCATAGGTGTATGGCCAGCTTAAGGCAGACATTGTTTCTGACAATTAGCCTATTTTACCTGTGTACATGGATGTTGCTTTCAAACACTGGTTTTAAATTTGTACACAGTGGAACTCTTATGCATGCAATCAATTGAAAATTACAGCAAAGGCCTCTCTTGCCTTTGATTCAAATGCAGCTCAACAGGACAATCTGTGTCAAGAGAAATGCATTGTAAAGCAGGTCAACCACTGTCTTAAAATGGTCATCCAAGCTGCACCATTGCTATAAATGGCAATCTGCTGACCAGCTGAGTGAAAGAACCACTTGTGTACTGCGTGCCCAACTTCTAAAATGGTCAGTGGAAGTGTAATGGATTTATCTACCAATACAATCACACAAATATTACCTGGCTTTGTAACGGCAACACATTGTCCTTCCTGTTCTCCAAAGCCTTCAGCACAGACACATTTATAGGTCCCAGGAGTGTTTACACAATCCTCATTTTCTCGGACACATATTTTCTCAAGATTCTCACACTCATTTATATCTGAAAACAGGTAATAAGCATAATGTCATTACTGTTGTATGTATGACAAAACAATGCACTATGCGCAAAAAAAGCATAGGACATCGGGTATAAAATGCAGGTAAAAGTGCTTACCCTACAAATTGTTTTGAAAAATGCAAACACTTGCCTTTACAATCACAATTCACATAAAATAAACAAGCTCATTCCAAATTAGGACTCATTCACTCCATAATGTATGCAACAGTGCGCATGATGCACACACGCTGGCATGCAATTTCAACATCCCACAATCCACTGCATAAAAATGCAACCTGTCCTTAGTTTTTTTTCCATTCAAGACAACGCAGTGCTTTGGTGTGAACTGACACCACAGAAAATATGTCCTATCTGCCTTGTCCTTGTGTTGAGAACGCATTATGACCAGCACAGCCAAATGCTGGTTTGAACAAGCCCTTAAATATTTAGCTACTCCAGTCACAAAGTATTTGCCCCTATAGGACCCAGTTATATACTCTTTATTTGGAACAGCCACTTGGAACAGCCACTTTATTTGGAACAGCCACTGTTTTTGCAATGTTTACAGAAGTGGGCTAGCAATTTTTTAAAGTGTTTTTTACTTCATGGTAACAAGCTCAAGTCCTTCCCAATTCACCTCTCACTCATGCAGCTCTTCGGTAAGTAAAACATCTCTTGGAATCGTGATCTCAGCCAGTAATAGTAACCACTATTGCAATGTAGTATAACAGCAAGAAGAGGCAGGAGAGAAGTGGATCCTAAAAAGGTTACCTGCCCGAAATCCCAAAATGTCATCAGATTTCCTATGTAATCTCAGGAGTCCATGTATTCTGCCCCTGGACTTGGAGATTCACCATGGCTGTCTTTCCAGCACCACACAAAGTGGTTAAAAAAATGAATTGCATGGAGGGGCATTTATTCAACCCCCTACAAACCCATTAAATTGTCCTTATATTCGTATATCTGATGGTTAAAAGAACTTGGAAGGCAGAATTCCAGCAAAAGCTTTTTCTTCATTTCTGGGCACAGTGTGGAAGGGTCATAATCTCTCAGTTTTTAATTGCAGTTTGGATCATTGTCTTACCTGTACATTTGTTATCCTCTAACACATATCCGGCTGAGCACTCTGTACACTTCTCTGGACCCTCGCCAGTACACCCAGAGCAGCTTTCATCACACTCTAATAAAACAGCAAAACAATCAAAGCTTAATATGTGTTAACACAATCAATATCATGTATGAAAGTGCCGAGACTGGTGACCAAGACTTTGAAAGCACCAGGCTCACAGCTACATAGACACATGAACATTTAAACATTTCATTCTTGTCAGTGCCACTGTACAGTTCCCATACAGCACCTCTTCCTGCTGCTGCAGTAGAACAATACTCCATAGGGCAAATCAAATGGTAGGGAACATTTTATTCAGAGTCCCACTGACAAAGTCCCATCCCTCCTTCAGTGTGTGATAGCATTGTGGAAAACCATTTCTGAGTGTAACAGAAATTAAAAGCAAAGGGCAGTAACAATGTCACTTAATTTCCCTGAAGTCAGATGATTGCTATGGATGCTACTGTATATTTTCACATCGATGCTTTGCTGTTTGTGCTAGTTTAAGGCAACATGCACATGGAGCTAATAGCTGTGGCTATGGATTTCTGCCACATGAATCACAGGTGGGTCTGTACAGCTGTCGCCGCTCTGCCTGCCCAAGTGAATGACAGGCAGACAACACCTGCATCTGCCCGTGGCTGTCAGCATGTAATCATAGATGTAAGGGTTACCTGCGGTTAGGGATAGATGATTGCCCCCGGATGCACACAGGTTGCATCCAGGGCAATTAGCTATCCCTAACCTCAGACAACCGTTCCATCTACAATTACATGTGAACGGTCAGGAACAAATGTGGGTGCTGTCAGGCTAATATTCATATGTACGGGCAGAGCGGCCACAGCTGTATGGACCAACTTGTGATTCCTGGTGCAAGAATCCGCAGCCACAGCCATTTGCCCCGTGTGCATGGGATTTAACCAACAGAACTTTTATTCGTGGAAATAGGTAATATACTTACTTTTACATGAATATGATCCTTCTGTGTTTAAACAATACTGACTCTCTTTACAAGGAGATTTTTCTGCAGCGCATTCATCTTGGTCTGTATGCAAAACAAAATGGTCGATGATCAATACATTTGTAGATGATCAATACATACAAATGTTCAGTTGACTAAAATGTAGAATTTTTGGGTGGATACATCTTAATTTATCATAGATTGCAGATATTTCAGCAGCAGCAAGATTATAGGAGGCATTGCTAGGGGTTCCACCACCAAGAGAGGAATCCAACTCACCAACATTAATCCATCACTAAAATATGAGTTCTAAGCAGACTTAACCTTTAAAGGGGCTCTTATCCCACTCTGGGTGGACCTCTAATGAAGGCTGTGTATGATCCTGTCAAATAGTGTTCAATTTAAAACTAATTTATTTTGTTGATGGAGATACCAACCTACACAGCTTCCATCTTCTTCTTTCCATCCGTCTTTACACACTTTGCAGTCTTTATTTGTTTCTCCGTGACAAGTTTTACATGCTTCATGACAAGCTAGGAAAGTGAGAAGGATTAAATAAAAGCTGAACAGCAGTACAGCACTCTAAGCAGTGGTAAACGTAGTCTTCCTCTTACACAGAACTACCTCAGTTCACACTGCAGACATCGTGTGACAAGAAAAATCTTGTTAGCTAGTAACTAAAAATCACAGTTCTTATGTTTGAAAAAAAATTGTGGACATCAGTCTACAGAAGTTTGACAGCTGAAGTATTGCTATCTTACTGGAAACTCCCGCTTCCAGTTCATCTTCTACCTTTTACTATATTTTTTATGATGTTCAGTTTTTCTGGAAAGAAACCCGCAGTTAGGTAAGAAAAACTGCAAGTTGTCAGGTTTCATATTTCAATCTCTAAGTACAATGAGCAACTAAAAAAAAAGAATCTAGATGGATGCAAGGAGCAACTATTTCCAGCTTATTGTTCTTCAGTTTTGTACATAAACCCCTCTACCCAAGCAATATCAGTTCCAAGTCACATCATTCAACCAACTAAACTGCTGCATCGTTTATATAAGAAAGTACCTGCAGTTTCATGCTAATCTGTAACTTTTTACTACTACCGAATTAAAAAAAAAAAAAGCAGCCCAAAACTATTTATTTTGAGTGAAAGATGACTCAAGTGAGGAACTGCAATTCCGTTTTGTGCCTGTTTGTATAGTTCCCTATCAGATTTCTTCTGCTATGGATACAACTGGGCTGCTTGTAGGCGTTTTGGGAAATTACACTTTAAAGTTAGTAAGGGTAGATGCATACCGCTTATAGACTAGATTTGGTTTAAATGGCCTAACATTGCCTCCCATCTAATGTTTGGAAAGGATCGGGCCATTTATGTATACACCCTGTGGCCAAAATTGGTCATTTCTGAAGATGCAACAGAGATTTTCCAACAGTTAGTGACCCCGCTGATACTTCCTCTATTCACTGTCAACAGTGAGCTAAAACAAGATACGTATCTCGTTATTTACTTTTTCTTCTCAGTTAAAAGAGGAAGACATTATTCAAATCACACCACAGATTTCCAATAGTTGTAAAATCTCATATTGATCCTCTTGGGCTGTTACATTCTAAGGCAGCAAGAGCAGAGAGGGAAGAACATTAATGTAGCGGCTTCACAGCAGGATTTAGGATATTTTTGGAAAATATGCAGAGAGCCCGCTCTTAAAAAAGAGCTCTGGGCTAAACAAAAACATTTATTTAGTTCCTAACGGTGGTGCCTTTAAATAATCATTTTTTTAAATTAGTTTTTGAAAGTGTAATGGATGCCTGAATGGTATGGCAAGCTTTTAATTCCTCCACACGTGTCTAATTGGTTAAGGCACTGGGAAATCATACATGAACAATAAGTATTTACATTTTTTTAAATAAATAAAATCAGATAATGTAAAATTAGATAATGCAAACAGCAATTACCACTGCATACAGAATGAGAGTCATTTCTTTCAGAGCTGTAGTATCCATCTGCACATTCAAGACAAAATGGTCCTGTATACTCTTCCTTGCAGCTGCAAGTCCCGTCTCCTCCTCTGGTCCCATCACCACTACACAAACCGTTCCCATGACATGGCCTTTCAGATCCACCTAGGCAAGCTAAAACACAACAAAGTAATGTAAAGGCCTGTTTTGCTTAAGTATTATCCAGTTTATGGCTGTAATCTGTGTAACTTTCCTAGTTGTGAGACTACGCTGTTAGTGACAGCTCCTGGTATCTACTATTGTTCGGGAACCAAGCAGCCTGATTCCTGATCATTTGATCACCATGCCAGCTGTCAATGTACTTTTTCTGTGCACTAACTGCAGTTGACCCATAGTGCTCTTTTAAACACAATA